GCTCAAGTCCTCTATGTAAAATGGCGTAGAACAATATGTACAGTCGGCCCTCCACATCCATGGATTCCCAACCGCGGATCAGAAATACTATACGTAAGGCCAATTTGTATATTTATTGAAAAAAAAATCCACCTATAAGTGGACCTGGCAGTTCAAACCATGTTGTTCAAGGATCAACTATAATAAGAGTGAGCATTTTGTGAGCATGTACCAGGTAGAAGTTCCCACACTCACGTTGTTGTCCTCACATTGGCCCTGGGAGTGAGGGTTTATTGTACCCTTGAGGAAGCTGAGGTCAGAAAGGGACTGACCCTCACCAGGGGTCACACAGTGAATGAACAGCAGAGCTGGGTTTTGATCTCAGATGCACCTGGGAACACCTTATGCTTTACCTGTCACACCTGGATCCACCCAAAGGTGCCTTTCTGGGGGGACTCCAGGCGTTGGGAAAGCAGGTAGAGGTGGTGGGAGGTGGAAGGAGGTCAGCCCTGGGGTCAAGGTCATCAGAGGCCTTCTGCCACCTCCGTGGGAACACATCCCTGAATATCCCAAGGTCTGAAACAACCAAGAAAAAAAGTGGTTTTCGGTTGTTTGCTTAGTCCTGGGATGTCTAGTGCACCAGAGGCCTGGGCAGTACACCGGGTACCTGGACCTCAGCCATCTCCCTCCTGTGTGTGCCATTCCAGAGATGCAGAGGACTTGCTGGAGTCACAGCCACTGGGATCCTTTCTCATCAGGGTCAGTCACACGCATGTGGGCTACACACTCTCCTACAAGTAAGGCCTGGGCTCGGGGCCAGGGCAGGGGCAGGAGGGCTCGGGGGCTTCCATGAAGGGGACAAGGGGGGCTTCATACCATAACTTCTCAGAAAGCAACTGGTGCGACATTATGGCCAGATCTGGCTGAAGACTGTGCAGCTGCAGGTGTGGTCAGTCAAATTGGGCCTGAGGGTAACTGAGACTTTGTGTCTGAAAACAGGGGCTGCTGGGGGCCTGAGAGTGGCTACTGCCCTTCGCCTAACCACCCCTCTCCCTTCCACCATCTAATACTTGGCAACTCTCTGACTTCACCCAGGAGAACATGTTAGGGAAAGTCAGGGCCTTCCAGCTCCTTGAGGCCTCAAAGCCTGACCTAGCATCCCAGGTAGAGGATTTCGCAGCACAAACTACATTTCAAAAGGATTCCAGACCAAAAAAAAAACAAAAAAACCCCAATGGCTCCATTACAGTTACCCACAGTAGGGAAAATCTTCAGCCCTGAGTCACACAGTCCCAGGCTGGTCCCCGCTGCTTACACACTGTGTGACCTTGGGCAAGTTACTCAGCCTTTTTGTGTCTGCCTCCAAGTCCTCATCTCTAACATAGGAATGCTAAAGTTAATTCAGTCTTGATGTGAGGATTAAAAGATACAGTAAGCACATAGTGGGCCATTAATAAAAGCACCCATTCATTAACGGAGCAGAGTGCCAGGCACTCAGCCTTAGGCTGGGGCTGACTCAAATCTTCATTATCATTTCTATCCATCATTTACCCCCTAGCCAGACACCGAGCTAAGCTGTTCCTATAGTAGCTTGTTTCATCTTCACAAGAACTGCTGAGATCAGCCTTCATAGCCCCATGTTATAGATGGGGAAACTGAGACACAGTGCTGTTAGTCGCCTACCAAGTGTCACATGGCTAATGAGTGGACGAGCCTGCATGGGAGCCCGGGCAGTTGGGCCATGATGCTGCCGGTTCAAGGGCTGAGGGGTGGGGACAGAATGAAAGGAGTGGGATGTCCTAGCCCTGGCAGTGTTTCCACAGAGCCCAAAGCTGCTGCCGCCACTTCATGGTGAAGCTTTTGGATGATGGAAGCTTCAAGATCCCTGGGGAGACGAGAACCCACGCCTCACTGGATGCACTGGTCACCTTCCACCAGCAGCAGCCCGTGAGGCCACACGGGGAGCTGCTGAGGCAGCCCTGTGGGCAGGTAAGCGTTGGGACTCTGGTTAGGTGAGACCTAGCTGCCCTCAGGGGCCAAGCCCCCCAGACTCATTTTGCTCCCATCTGTCCCTTTCAGCCTCTTGTGGATTCTGTCACTCTTGTGGTCCCTGTCCCCAGCTCCACCCCTCCTGGTCCTTGCCTGCCCCCCACTTCCCAGCTGATTTTTCACAAGGATTCATATGCAGGATATAAGCTTGGCTGAATAACATATTTCCTTATAAGCCTCAGTGGGTGGAGTCTAATCCTTAGAAGCTGCTGTGGGAGGGGCATGTTTCCTTATAATGGTTGATGGGCATGGTCTAGGACCATATTAACGGCTGTAGGTGGGGCATGTTTCCTTATAAGGATCAGTGGGTGGGGCCCTCTGAAGTTACTGTGAGGAGGGTACACTTCCTCATAAGGGTTTGTGGGCAAGTCCTAGACCCACATAAGTTTCTGTGGGCAGGGCCTAGGCCCTGAGAAGCAGCTGTTGGAGCGGCATGCTTCCTTACAAGGTTTGTGGGTGGAGCATCCCTAAATACCAACATCTGGGGACCCCAGCCCCATCCCTGTCCCCCTCCTTGGGGCTGAGCTGCAGGTCCCCTCTACCCCACAGAAGGATCCAGCAAACGTGGACTATGAGGATCTTTTCCTTTACTCCAATGCGTTAGCTGAGGAAGCTGCCAGCCCAGCCCATGGCCCCAGTGAACATCAGAGTTCTTCCTCCCGACCTGAGGCTGCACCCAAGGAGGTATGTGACAGAGAGCTGGCACCTCCTACCTGGGGGAGGGGCGGGGCAGAGCTGGCCAACAGCTGCCGGAGGAGACTTTCTAGAATGAAGATTAGGTCCTGTAGCTCCAAGCTTAAAACCTTCCAGTTATTTCCCAAGGCACCAAGATTAAAATCCCAACTGCGACTTCAGCTCCTCCTTCGGCCTATCAGCAGCTCAGCTTCAGCCTCTCTGCCATCCCTTCTGTTGTTCAGACACATCAAGCTAACCTCAGGGCCTTTGCACATGCTGTGTGCTCTGCCCCTAGATTTCCCATGCTTGGCTTCTACCATCAGTTCTTCAAGTGCCTCCCTCCCATCTCTAGACCTAAAGTAGCCCCCCTGCCTTTTCCATCACATCACCCTGTTTATCTGTAACAGAGCACACCTCGAAATTTGAAAGTCTCATTCATTTATGGGTTTTCATGTTTCCTATCTGCCTATTCCTTCAGTTATCACCCTTTAGGGGCGAGGGAGCTGGGGTATTTATCCTCCAACTTCCATCAGACATTGGTCAAGCATTGTTCCTGGGAGATTTTGATTCTCTGGTACTTCTGGTCTGCCATGTGGACACAGTGGGCACTGGTGTCCAGAGAAGGCCCTCAGGCAGAGTCCCCAGTGCTGGCATTTGGGAATAGAGCTGGGGGCACTGAAGTGCTCAGGTCAAAGGGGATATGGTTGGGTCATCACAGCATGTGCCACACGTGAAATCCAAGATTTGGCCTGAACAACCAAGTAGATTAGGGGTCAGCAAACTATGGCTTGAGGGCCACATCCTCAGGCCTGTTTCTGTATGGCCCATGAGCTAAGCATGGAATTTATGTTTTATGAATGGTTGAAAAAAATCAGAACAATAATTATTTCATGGCCTGTGAAAATCAGATGAAACTTAGATACCCATGTCCATAAAGTTTTATTGGAATGTGGGCCCACTCACTCGACAACAGCAGAGCTGAGGAATGAGACAGAGACTGTATGGCCTGCAATGCAGAAAATATTTGTTCCCTGGCCCTTTACAGACGAGGTTTGTCAACTCCTAAGGGAACTACTGAAGCTGTTTACTCAGATGGGAAGGATGGGCCATGAGATTAGTTTTGGGGGTTCACACAGGCACGGTTCTCTGCCCCAGGGCATATGGGTGGGACCCCGATCCCAATTTCTGGTGCAGATTCAGAGCTCTGGTGGGTGTGCTGGCTGCAGGTCTCACCTGCTCTCGGTTTCAGGCCTCTGCAAAGCCAGTCCTGCTCCATCGGCCAAAGGAAAGGAAGCCATCAGTAGAGATGGGCAGAGTGCCCACGGAGGAAGCCACTTCCTCCTGTCCCCCCAAACTCCCTCTTGAAGAGACCTGCCACAAACTGTGGAAGAACCTCAAGGTGCTCCCCCAGACGGGCAAGAGGGTCCAGCAGCAGTTGAAATCCCACCTGGCAGCTGTGAACTTGTCATCACTCCGGAACTCGAGGAGCTTGGAGGCGACTCACAACTCAGGAGCTGGGGCAGGTGACGTGGCTAGGGACCATAACATCTGCACAAACCCCTCTATGGCCACGTCCCTCACAAGCCCCTCACAGCCCCAGGCTTCAAGAGACAGAGAGGACTCCTCCAGGAAGGGCTCAAGGCCGGCAAGCTGGAGCGAGGAGACCCCAAAGGCCAGGGGTTGGCACCAAGTGATAGAGAGGGCCCTGTCCTCACAGGTGTCCAAACCGGAGTCGAGGGGGTTGACAGAACCCCAAGAGGACTGGCTCCCCGAGGAGTACCGCCCACCACCACCCTTTGCCCCTGGATACTGCTAGAAAAGACATTCACCTTGGCTCTGGGACCATTGTGGTAAGGGGCTGCTCACACTTGGACCCTTGGTTCTTTACCCACTAGCCCTCTAGAACCTGAGAAACATAATAAAGACATTGCTGGAGTCTGGTCTTGCAATTGCCAATGGGGTTACTTGAATAATAATAATCAGTTATAGCAAGGGTCTGGGGCGCCTATTTCTTTTACACCTCTGAGTAGGCCCATCAGATACATTCCTTCTGCACATTTTAAAGAAGAGGCTGAGGTTCCAAGAGGAGAGACGTGGCGAGTCACGTGGCTATGGGTGGGAGGGTTTCAGTGCCAGGATTGGAAGTCATGTTATTTGGAGCCCTTTTCTTCACATTCCCTGTACTCGGGCTCAATCCCAGTAGGTCCCGGCCATGCCTTCTTCCTGCGTTCTCATGCAAATGAAGGAGATGAAACTCGTGGAAGGCTTGGCGCACACCAACATCGGTTTTAGGAGAAGCATGTGTGTCATTTGCTGTAAAAAGGGAGAGGTGGCCCAGGGCCATGGTTGGGGAGGGCGCTGGGGGCAATCCTGGATCGCAGGTCTGTGTGATCTTTGGCGAGTCACTAGACCTCTCTGGGCCTGTTTCCTCATCTAGAAAATGGGGAGAAGAGCAGTCCCTCTTTCTCAGGATGAAGCAGCAGGATGTGCGTAAAACCTAGAGTTTTGGTGCACAGTAGGTGCTTAATAAATGAGGGTTAGGGTGGGAGCGGGCTCCCTAGAAATGATACCCAGTGAGGGTGTCTGGGAAGGTCCCTGAGGCTGCTCTCAGTTGCAGGAATGACTGCTCTTTGGGGCCATAGATGGGGCCCCCTGGGGTGACCACTGGTGGAGTGGGTGTGGGGCTTCCCAAATCCACAAGGTATGAAGGTCTGGGATCTGGAGTAAGCCGGGCCTGGGGTCAAGCCTGCCTCTGCAGATGACGAGGTGTGGCCTTGGCTAAGTCACTCTGTTCCCTCTGAATGAAGTGTGACTGGTCCTTGGCCATCCCTGCTGGGATGTCACAGGCAGCCAATATGATGACAGAGAGGCAGATGGTTTCATTAACTGTAGAGTACTTTGCCTGTCTCAGTGAATAACATCCCCTACCATCCCCTCAGAGGCCTCCCCTGGCAGCTTGAATGAATCAACAAGGAGTTAAGCCTTCAGTCCCGTGGAGGAATTCAGGGGTTGAGGGGAAAGGGGACTCGAGCAGTTGGAGGTAGGGTTCGGTCTTGGGGGGCCCTAGGACAGCATGGGCCTCATCTCTCCACCTCCACACCGAAACACTTCCAGCCCTCACAGTAAAGAGATCTAAGTCAGCCTCTTCCTTGTACAAAAGGGGCGATGGTGACCCAGAGAGGGTGCAGCCACACCAAGGGTCACACAGGGAGGGCAGAGATGAGATCCCAGGTTTCCTCCCTCCCATCTGCCAGGTTTAAGTGGGAAATCATGTCCCAGGAGGTGTGACTCAGTGATATGTGTTTATTCCCAGAGCCCAGATTCCATGGTGGGGTGAGGGGTCGCCCTGCGCTCCTCAGTGGTGCCTTCAGATGCGGATGTGGAAGGTGCTGTGTGCAAAGAGGAACAGAGTCAGTGTCATCAAGCAGAGGACAACCCTCCTGCATCCTCCTCCCCAACGCTCCAGCCGGGAGTCCCCGAGGCAGGTCAGGAGCCACGTGGGGAGATAGACCCCCCCCTCAAGAAGCCCCAGGCTGTAGATCTCCTGAGCCCCCCACGGGTTGGGAGCACATCTCTTTGGATCAGAGTTTACATTCCGGACTTGCTGTGGGGCTCTGAGTGAGCGACTGCCCCTCTCTGGGCCTCAGTTTACTCCCTTATTATGGAATGAGGATAATAGCTGTCTCTCCTTCATTGGGCTATATTGAGGGCTGAAAGTGGGACACACAGAGGGTGCTCCATCATCCCGGGTGTCATTATTCGTGTCCATTGACTAGGAGTCCAGCCTTGCTTATTCAGGTAGAGAAAAGAGGCCCTTTGTGCAGTCTAGGACACCACCAATAATAACAGCCACACCAGCAACCACAGCTATAACCACGGTTATTGACTGTGTGCCAGGCACTGCTCTAAATTCATTCCATGTACAAACTTGGGAGTCAGCCAACTTTTTTCCGGAAAAGGCCAAATAGTGGATATTCCCAACTTTGCACAACTCAACCCTGCCTTGCTGCTCAAAAGCAGCCATAGACAATGCAGACACAAATGGGCATGACTGTGTGCCAGTAAAAGTATTGAGGGACTGGAAATGTCAATTTCACATCACTTTCAAGTATTGTGGAGCATTATTATTCTTTGATTTTTTTCCCTCCCCAACCATTTAAAAATGTAATTTAAAAACTATTCTTGGGAAATACAGAAACAGGTGGCGGGCCACCCCCTGTGCTAACTCATGTAACCCTTACTATCTGACCTACAGTGGGGGCTCTGATTCTCCCAGGACTGCCAAGTACAGTTGTACAGTCTGTTCACTGCAAAATGTTCAGGCAAGGGAGGGCTGGAGTCCAGCCAGGTTCTACTAACCCAAAGAGCTGTGGCCACCCACAGGAGGTGCCCATGGGGTCCCTAATTGTCCCCATTTTAAAGATGCAGGGACTGAGGTCAGGGAGGTTGTGCAAGTTCCCCAAGGTCACAAATGAATGAACAATGGAGCTTTGACAAACCAAGTCTGTGAACTAAGATCCCTTCTCACACATGGAAATGGATTGTGCAGGGTGGCCAAGTGTCACCTGAGGAAGTCGGGGGCCCGCAGGATCATGTTCTGGAAGTCTTCCAGGGACAGTCGCCCGTCGTGGTCCCCATCGGCCTCATCCAGCACCTTTTCGCATACCAGGGTCACCTCCTCAGCACTCAGCTCCCCCCGTGTCAACTTGGTCACCGTCTGCTCCAGGTCCCACATACAGATGTAGTCATCGTTGTTAAAGTCTGTGCAGTAGGATGGATGGGGATTGGGGGTGGGGTGGGGTGAGGAACACAGGAAGTAGGCTGGCCGGGCCAGCATGAGGGTATCTTGTCCCTATGTCACAGAGCAGGAAACTGAGGCACTGGAGGGAACCCAAGATCTTGGGAGAAAAGCTGGGTCTTGCTTTTGAATTGGGCAGGGACAAGTTCATTCATTCATTTAACAAGTATTTATTGAGCACCTTCTATGTGCCAGGCACCATGATGACTGTTTTTTATTCATTCATTCATTCATTCATTCATTCATTCATTCATTCATTCACTCAATAAGTATTTATTGAGTGACTATTGTGCACCAGGCACTGTGATAACTTTTTATTCATTCATTCAACGAGTATTTATTGAGCACCAACTATATACCAGGCACAGGAGACAGATGATGAACCAAACAGACACTGCTGCTGCCCTGGGTCTCCTCAGAGAGAAAGTCGATAAGAAGTGGCCAGATCAATGAACAAGAAATTAAGCAGCACTGCTCTATGCTGAGAGAGAAATAGGAAGAGGGTGGCAAATGATGGGTGGTGGGGACTACTTTTCGCCTAGAGTTCAAGGTAGGAAGGAGCCAGGGGAAAGGTTTTCTGGGCAGACAGAGGCAGAGGTCTGGAGGCAGAAAGAATTTGGTGTGTTGGAGGAAGAGGAGACCAGTGTGGCTGGAACGGGGTGAGCAAGGAGATGAGGTCGGGAGGTATAGGGTGCGGTGGAGAAAAAGGCCCAGCTAGGCCTCGAAGCCCTAGGGGAGACACTGTGACAGCAGGGCAGCCCCTAGCCCCAGGCACGGTCTTGTTCCCATTCTTTACCTCATGCTCCCCAGCCCCGGGCCCTGCACGCACCATAGATTTTAAAAGCATAGTAAGCTTTGAGGTCACGGGGAGCCATTTCGCTCATCACAGAAAACATATCCAGGAAGTTGTCCAAGGTCATGTGGCCATCCCCATCGTCGGAGAAGACTTGGGCGATTCTCTGGCGGAACGGGTTGTCCTGGAAACAAGAAACAGGGAGGCCATCCCTGGCCAGGGTTTCCGGAGCTCCATGTGGTCTCACTCTTGGCACCCAACTTCCTGGGAACTTCCAAGTACCCCCACCAAGACCCCCTCCCGCCCAAGGTCCCTGGACAGAACTTCAGACACCACCACTCTCTGCCCCTGTGGTCTGGGTGGTACTTCCAGCTGCAGAAGCAGCCATATGACCTGGGTGAGGCCAATCAGAGATTTCCATTCTCCTGGCAACCATGATTGGCTCTAGGATAGGCACGTGACTCAAGCTGGCCAATTAGAGGCTGCCTGGGAGGTTTTTGAAAAAATTGGGATGGAGAGACCTGATTTCTGCTGGTTGCAGAGGTGGCAGGAGGAAACTTGGGGCCTCTGGGGGTTCCCTTCACTACCTCAAATGCCATACAAATGCCTGAGACTGAAGCCTCTTCCTGGGAGGAGCTGAGAGATGAAAGGAGATTCCTGAGTACATCCTCAGAGACCCTGGTTTCAGCCATACTTGAAGCTAGCCCTGCCCCTGGATTTTTTGCTCATGTGATCTAATCCATTCTGCCTCTCTTGAATAAGGTTTCTGTCCCTTGTGATACAATAATCTCTAGGCACAGTCACTCGCTACAAAAATCCCCTTCAGAGGCACAAACCATGTATTGAACATCCAGCTGAGAGGAACCCACATTTAGCAGCTTGTACTATGAAAAGAACTAACGTTCCCTGAGTACTTGCCATGCAACAAACCCTGTGCCAAGCATGATCTTATCTCATCCTCCCAACAACCCAGGGTTTGAATTCTATCTCTGTTACATCCTGGCTTTGTGGCCATGAACAAGTGTCTTAACCTCTCTGAACTTCAGTTTTCTCATCTGTAAAATGGGAATCATTGCAGCACTCACCTCATTGGAGTGCGGCAAAAGACACTGCTAGTATTTTTCCCCTGCCTGCCCCATGAGCCGGACATACCTTCAGCTCAGGCATGCTGCCAATGAGCTCATACGGCACCTTCACGTCAGGGCAGTTGGTATAGTCGAGGGGGACAAGCTGGGGGGCCAGGTCCTGGTAGCGATAGAAGAGCCTAGTGTAGGGAGGGAAATACCAGGAAGGGCTTGGAGATGGGAGGGAAGGGACTTGTCCCTCTCTCTCACTTTTGCAGCTTCTCACTCCATACTGAAAGATGGGTCCCCAAGAGCCATCAGACCCGGGCCCAGCCTTCAGGCACAGAGAGCAACACACAGGCACCTCTATCTCCCTGGAGACAAGGCCAAGGTAGAGAGAACAGCCCCAGAGCTTGGGGAGACCGGACTGGGGAAAGCAAACCAGGGAGGAGGAGGAAGTCCTGGGCTTTGAAGCATGACTAGGAGCTCACCACGTAAATGAGCTTGGCAGAAGGGAGAGTGCTTAAGGTGAGATCGTTTCACAACAAACATTTAGAGAATCTGAGTCAAACTATGAATCTCTGGACATCATCACATTATCGGCAAGACCATGCCTTTAGAGACCCCCACCCTCGTTTTCCTTCTCCCGCTCCATAATGAGAGGCAGGATTCCCTCAACGAGGCAGAGCAGAGACAAAGGCTAATATTCGGGTTTTTCAAAAGGGTGACTGAAAGGCATTTTGGAAAACACCAAATGCCATACACATTACCTAGATTGGGAGGCCAGCTCTCAACTCGAATGCCCTCACCTGGTCACGCCATTCCTTCACTGGGCATGCTGAGCAGTGAGCAGGAGCCTTACAAAGATCATCCTTGATGAGTCAGAGGTCCCCAAGTTGCTAGAGACTGTCTCAGAAGGGGACAGGAGCCTTTGGGTCATATGATGACTAGAAACTCAAGGCAGGGGCTATCGGGAATCCGGTCCTGACCACCAGTTCCCTACATGGGTCTCCTCAAGGAACAGCCTGAGTTTGAGTTTCTGTATGTCCTTGAGCAAGTCCCTCTTCTTCTCTGAGCCTCGGTTAGCTTGTCTGACAAGTGAGAAGCTTGGGACAGACGAAATGTCTGTCCTCAAACTCCTTGGGACTCATCCCATCTGCAGAGTTGGGGGTCAGCCTCCCCTGTCTAAGCCTCAGTTTCCCCATCAGTAATTTGATCATCATGGTCAGGGTGACCCTGCGAGCTTTCTTCGCCTAGACAATGGGGCTCACTGGTAAAAGGTGTGCCCATCAATAATGGATGTCCTGTGCCCACACAATTGGGTCCTTGGCACTGATCACTCTGTAGCTGAACCCCCGCCAGCTTGGGTTTCACAGCTCCAGGTTCCTGGGTCAAGGCCTCTGGACAATGGCTCCCTGGGCCAAGCGATGATGTGGGATACCCTTTTATGCCTGTCTCGCTCACACCAGGGACCTGAAGCAGCCTCAGGGCACCTCCCTGTACCCTCACCTTGATGTCAACCCCACAGCCCAGAGCTGCCTCTTGACTCTCCTGCTGTGCTCCCAGCCTCCAGTCTCAGCTTCTTCACACAGGCCTCAGGGGGGTCCTTCTAACATGCTGATCTGTCTCTCCCCTGCTCACACACTCTCCATGACTCCCTGCCACCCTTGGGAGAAAGCCCAAGCTCATCAGCCTAGAGGCGTGACAATAAGATCAGATGTGACTTCTCAGCCTCCCCATCTCTGCCTCCATCCACTGACCATTAGCTATCTAACTGCCATGAAGCATTGGGCCTTGTCAAAGTCCAAACATCCGCCAGTACCATATAGAAAGTTGTTTCCAGGTCTTCCTCCCTTCCTTCCCATACTGACCTCATGATTTCCTTCCTCGTGAAGAAGGTACAGTCCTGGGGAGAGAGACGTTGGCTTGGCCCAGGCCATACCCGGGGCCGCCTCCTCTTCCCGCCACGCCATGCTCATCTCTGCCAATACCGTACACAGAGCTGCACCAGGAACCCTTGCTGACCGCCCACCCGGGACTACGGGATGCTGCCCCCATTCCTTAGGCCAGGAAACCAAGGCTGCCCCACACATCACTCCTACCTGATATGCTTCCAGCTGCTCATGAGTGAAGACTGTCTGCTTGTTGCCCATGGTGAAGGCCACTGCCAGGAACAGGCTCCCAAAGCCCCCAGTCTCCTCAGGGCCACACGGTTGCCAGGCTGCCACACACCAGTGTCTGGGCAAATCTCTCTGCCCTGGCTGTCACCCGCCCATCACCCCAAGCCTGGATGAGACTCAAGTTACAGTCAAGCTCTCTGGCCAACAGCCTGAGTATGTCCATGGCCACCAGGGCAAGAAGGGCTGTGGGAGGTCACAGAGCCTCAGACCACATCTGCCATCACCAGGTGGGCTTGAGGGGAGAGGTCACCTTCCAGAGAACAGCATGGTGGTGGACAGGCTGCAAGCATACCCCAGCTCAAATATCAGTTCTCTACCCACTAGCTGTGTGGCCTCAGGCAAGTCACCTGACCTCTCTGAGCCTCATTTTGTAAGATGGAAATTATTTTCGTACCTACCTCATAGAGTTGTTTTGAAGA